AATCTTATCGAAATCCATCACCAATAATTATCTTTTCGGATAATGACATGTGGCGCAACGAGAACGATTTAAAACCTGATTGAAATCTATCCTTAAAGATTCTAAAAAGATAACGACACGTGGCACGATGACATTGGATAAAAATCTTATTGAAATCTATGACCAATAATAGTCGTTTTGGGTAAATGATAAGTGGCGAAACGAGAACGATTTAAAATATCTTATCCGAAATTACAAATAAATTTATTTAGTATTATTATGTAAAAAAAAAATTAATAACATTTTATTACCTATTGCCAGGGCTATTCAAGAGCAATGGTGGAGATGCAAAACGCAGTTACTGTTCATTAAGGCAGTTACTGTTCACAGGTTGAATTGAATAATAGATTGCTTGGGGTGAGGGCTCCAAGGGTGGAGTTGCTCTCAATACCTGTTTTTTTCAAAAGAGGTGGAGTGAACAGTGGAGTTTAATAATGACAACCTTTCCTCCTCTCCCTTCTCCATTTCTCCTTCTCATTGATATTTCCCTTCATCGCATCAAGACCTGAACCTAAAGACTATCAGAGACCTTCTCGTCCTTCAAATCGACGGTTGGGAGGTTCAGATTTCGAAAATAGGACTTCGACGACGACCTTTCAAATTGAAGGATGGTGTCAGCGAGGTTTGTGTTTCGGAGATAAGATCTCGTCGAGGCTGCCATCAATAGGTATGTCTTGAAGCTAACGAGATTTAGGAGTTGTAGGTTTGCTAAGAATCTATTGTAATTGCTGAGAGATAAGGAGAGTGTGTGGTGGTTGGCCTTGATGGTTAAAGAAATGCTAAGAGGGCTCTCTTAAAACTAATTATATCTTGTGTGACTACTTTTTTTTAACAAACCAACAACACTTTTCTAGTCATGTCCTTTATGGACAATATACACATTCACCACACTTCTACATAAAAGTTGATCAATCACTTTGACACTCCTTTGTAACTCACAACAATTTTACAAAACAAATTTACCAAATACAAATTTGCTCTATTTCACAGCTGATTATCCTTATAGCACAGCAAAAGCTTTCTTTAAAGCACATAAATACCAAACCTTAGAATCCCTAACCTAAATGACTTAGGTCTTCTTAAAAACAGAAGGAAACGTAAAATAATAACATACTTGTAATTAGATCTCCCCTAGAATAACTTGGACAGCTTTCCCATTCTATCAAATTCTCTATTATCGATCCTCTCCATTCCTTTGCATTGCTTCAACACATGTTCAATATTTTGCCATGTTGTTTGGACTCGGATCATCAAATCCTTTTGCACGTAGAAATTACTCTAGGCACCGCAAAATCTCGTTTTTTTCTTCTTTTATGTGTAACTTCGATATTGGATGCCTAGAAATTAAAATAATGAAATTTAGTGCATTTAATTCATTCGTAACTCCAAAATTGATGTCAGTTTCAAATTTTTCTGTACTTTGCAAGATCAGTTTCAATATTTCTGCACTTCTACAAAATCAATTTTAAAATTCTAGCAATTCTGTAAGATTAGTTTCAAACTTTCTTCACTTCTACAAGAACAATTTCAAAATTCCAGCATTTTTGCAAGATCAGTTGTAAAATTTAGCATTCTACAATATTAGTTTCAAAATTCATGCCCTTCTGCAAGATCAATTTCCAAATTTCAACATTTCTGCAAAATCAGTTTCAAAATCAACAAAACCTCAAAATCAAATAATTTCAAAAAATATTATGATCAAAAACCAAAAATAAAATCCCAATGGCTCTCATAAAAAAAAACTCATAAATTTAGAGAACAATACGAATAAGAAAAGGACGAAAGAGAAATATGAAGAGAAGTAGGAGAGAGAGAAGGACGATGAAGAAGGAGGAAAGAAAAAAGAGAAAGAGAAGGGGGAAAGGAGATGGAAACTATGGTAGACAATTTTCCCTGTCTTCAGTCGTGACAAGTTTTCTATATATAGAAAAGCTTACCAATATTTGGTAGAGATTGTGGTATTTATAAGAGGATGTGGCCAACCTAGGAGTTAGAGTTTTTCTCTACACATGGTGACATCCTATTGGCCAAGGTGTGTCATCTGTTGGATGAATGAGGTAAGAATATTCCCAAGATATTAATTAGGAGATAATATCTTGGGATAATGGTGGAAGTATCCCTAACTAGTTGAAATAGGAATTACTTACTTGATAAAGATGATCTTCAGTTGGGAATGTATTAAAAATATGATTAATTATAAATCCTACATTTAATACTTTTGACTTTTCCTTGCCACAAGTTGGGGAGCTTTGAGCAGTTGCAATCCACTGCTTGAACTTTTAGGGACGCTAAGCTGCGCATGAGGACGCTTAAGAACCCTACCCATTTAATGAGGGCAATCTTGTCTTTCTTGAGTAAAAGTCCATGTGTTGCTTTGTGGATTTTTGGGATTATTATTGGCTCCACAAAAACCTATCTTCAAACATAGAGCGGTTAAAATTGTAAATGTCAATGCAATCAAATACTTTCAAAAAATACTAAAATAAAAAACTAAAATCCCAATGGTGCTTAGAAAAGAAAAAACTCATAAATGTAGGGAACGATATGCAAAAGAAAGGAGGAAAGAGATAAGTATGAATAAGAAATAGAAGAGAAGGACAAAGATGGAAGAGGAGAGAGAGAAAGAAAGAGAGTGTCACGGGTAGAATGACAAGGAGGAGATAGAGGAGCGCGAAGAAGAAATAGGAGGAGAAATAAAGAAACAATACAAATAAGGAGATAGATACCTATCTTTCAATTACAGAGGAGAAACATTGTAAATGCAAAAGCAATTAAAAAAACAACCATGACATTATCTGCCACATAGGTATGTTTGTTCTTCTATTAAATAAATAAAAAACTTTTTCTCTCCCCAAAATATAGTCTTAATTTGACTTTATGTGTAATTTCTCCTAGCTTGTTCATTAAAAAAAGGTACATTTTACATAAAAAAAAAAAAGTTAGTACATTTTACATATAACAAATTGGTACATTTTGATGAAAAATGGGTACATTATAGATATATGAATGGTACATTATAGATAAATTATGGGTATAAATAAAAGATTAAAAAAAAATTATGGGTACAAAAAAAGTTGAAAAATATGGGCGAGAAACTAAATATATGGGTACAGATTAAAACTAAAAGAAAATTAGTACAGAGTAAAAAAAAATGGTTGCAAATTAAAAATAGATATAATATAAAATTGAACGATAAATATAAATATACCAAATGTAACGTTTTTATCACTAAATGTATATATTGAAATGGTTAAATAATTTTTAATTATAAGATTTAAATATGCTTCCATGCATATACTTTATTATTGAAATAATGATGTGGATAAAAATCAAAGTACCTTGATAAAAATTGAAAAAGAATAAGGTTTCAATCAATGAAATAGAAAAATGAGGTATGAGAACCTACGTTGAGGGATCCCTGGGATGCTTTGTAGGGTCCACTCCACACCATATTTTAACAATCCAATTTTCCATCTTTTAAGTCTTCATTTAATGATCGTTTACGTCCATTTTCTTCAATACGATTGGATATCTTAATGGTTCTGAATTTATTTAATTTTTTTGTAAGAAGATGTACTAAAATATAGACGGTTTGAATTGTTAAAAACAGAAAAAAAAAAAAAAAAGTTACGAAACAAGGTGTCCCACAAATAAGCTTATTTGAGTGATCTCTAACAGAAGGGAATCCTATGAATTATATACGTGTGTGTTGAAAAACTAGGTTTCCAAGTGTCATAGAGAATTATATATATTGAGCTCAGGAAACGAAATGTTACATACTTTCAACGTCAACGGAGAGAGATCAGAGGTAATTAGTGAACCAGATCAAATTTAAGATAATTGTAACTAAAAGCAAGCTGCATATGGCAAAGACTACCAATAAACAACCTCAAACCTGCTTCGATGTGAAACTCGTGGCTTGATTGATAAAACAAACGTTTTGGGGGCCAAGCAATGAAAAGCAAATCTTTGAATGGCCCACCTCCTTGAGTAATCTAAAGTTACAATCAATAAAAATACAATAAGCACACGTAAATGCCCTACTGTTTCCCATTTAAGTATTTCAATAAGACATAGGGGAGACGGCCAAAGATACAAATCCACTATAAAGATTGTGTAATGTTGGAAAAACTAAATTGTAGATTAAATTTGCAAACTAAATGATATGTCACTAATAAGAATGAACATGTTTATTAACACGTAAGCAATAATTCAATCACTTTCATATAATTTAGTTGACAAATTTAATCTCCCCAACATTACAGTAAAAGATATGACAAGGCATAGATCATTCAAACGTCAACATGGGGCTAGACAAAGTTACAAACAATGCACTCTTTGAAAAATACTCATCACCTTACTGGCGCACCGTGAAGGAAAAAAGAATAAAAAAGTTATTTGTAAAGAATATGAACATTCGAACTCACTTCAAAAATATAACAACCCAATATCACGTGCTATTGATAATATAACTTAACTCTACAAGCCTTAAGAATGCAAATAAGAATAGAATTAAACAAATAACATAATAATGAAAACAGGCTTAAATCTTAAAACACTAAAAAATCGTTACAACGATAGAATTTAACTGAAAAAGTCTTATACAACAATATAGTAGTGAGTTTGATGCACAACGTCGTTCAATTTGAAATGACTTGCCATGGGTTTCCAATGGGACATTAGAGTCTTAATCTGCAAAACTTTGTTCTTTGTCTTTCAGCTCGATCTTCAATTACTCCGTCATTTAATATGAATTACTTATATTTTATAAATCATTTCTTCTTATTAATAAATTAAAATCTGGCGCGTATATAGAAATGATTGATTGTATGTAAGAGAAATGACTGGCTCTGGTAAAGAGTGGAACAGTGTTCGTACTATTGTGCTTTGGTCCACTGCTTTAATTATACACACACACATATATATCTTTTCTCATGTGTAAGCACCATAAGAGAAGACCACGTACCCCTATTTTAAGCTCTCTACCACATTCTTCTTCTTTTTCTTCTTCTTTTTTCTTCTTCTACCCACTTAACCATGGGAGAAGAACAATTCAATTTTATAGACAGTGAGGCTCAAACCACATCTTCTTCTTACTCAAATTCTACCACCTCTCAATCACAAAAAATTAGCAAGAGATCATCATCATCAAATCAACTAGAACTACTTGATGGTCATCAAAAAGCTGCTACTGCTTTGACTACTAACGGTGATGATGATGATGATGATCAAATTAGTAAGAAGAAAGCAAAGATTAAAAAAAGGATTAATGGTGATGGGAGGCAGCAGAGGCATCCTCATCATCCAACGTATAGAGGAGTGAGAATGCGTCAGTGGGGCAAATGGGTCTCAGAAATCCGAGAGCCAAAAAAGAAGTCAAGAATTTGGCTTGGAACTTTTCCCATCCCCGAAATGGCCGCTCGAGCGCACGATGTCGCCGCTCTGACGATCAAAGGCAGCTCTGCTGTTCTCAACTTCCCTGATCTAGCTCAAGAGCTTCCTATTCCGGCTTCCGCCTCGCCAAAGGACATCCAAGCTGCTGCTGCTAAGGCAGCTGCTCTTACCTACCCAAGCAGCAGCCTTGAACAGGAAGCGGAAGTCGAGACAGAGCTGATCAGCCAAGCTGTTCACGACAGTAGTCCTCATGATTCATCATCAACTTCACCATCAACCAATTACAATGATGACATGTTTTTTGACCTCCCTGATCTGCTTTTAGATGTTGGGCATCACAGTGATCATGGGTTATTTTCTCTGTGCCATGGCTTGATGAAGAGCCTGAGTTCTTGTGGGAGTGACTCAGATCTCAGAACCAATGGGGCAAAAGCATTCACTGAAGAGTTGAAGAAAGCAGCAGCTTAATTGGCAAGTTTTGTTTAAAAGTTTATATAAGTTGCTTGTTTTTGCCGCTCCTCCAAAGTCCAAATAGCTACTCGAATCAGGAAGCTCAACTTTTCAGTTTCCACAGGTTTGGTTTGGGATTATGTTGCCAGAGGTTCAGCTTGATTAATTAATTTACTACTGTAAGGTATGGAATATTAGCCATGCCTGCTAGATTTTGTTAAAAAAACCTGAATAATGTACCTTTTTAATTAATTTCTCATACTTTCAGTGTAAATATATATTGAGAGAAATAACAATGTTCATGCGTATTGGAGCTTGTCATAATTCAAAGTATGAAAACTTCTCTATGTTTAGTTACTACACTTGATAAATTTGACTCTAAATTTTCCCACTGGAAAATTTGGACAACATTGTTATAAAACTTCAAGGGAATGTATAGAGCACTGTTCTAAAAATCTCTGCCTAGGCGATAGGCGGCTGGCCACCGCCTGATTAATGCCTAGGCATTTAAAAATTAAGAAAGGGCACCTAGACCTGTTGCGGCACCCGCCTAGACCGCCTAGGCACCTGCTTAGCCCACCCATACCCGCCTAGGCACCCACCTAGGTTGTGACTCACACTACTACAATATTAGCTTTAGGTGTCGGATGATCCTAGCGGTTAATAAGTCATTCTGATGGATAAAAGATATCCGACACATAATTTATTTACTGTCGGATTAAAGTTACTTTCTGTCGAATTTATAAATTCTTTGTCGGATTTTTCCTGGCGGATTTAACCGCCATAAAATTATTATAACCCTCAGTATTTTTGAATTCTTTTTTTTTAATATTTTTAACATATTCTGGCGGTTTCTAAGTTAATGATGGCGGTTATAGCCGACAGAAATTTACTATTTTATTATTTTAAAATGTTACATTGATTATAAATAAATAAATAAACAAATTGTTTAATTTTTTTTTCACTCACGGTCCCGTTACCTAATCTTTGAATGTTTTTTTTTTTGCGATTTTTTACACATGCTATCTCGGAGTATATACAAACATATTTGATAGTTGGATCGTTGAAAATAGTTTTGTAGAATGCATATCCTATCAAATTGATAGATTTAACAAACACTTAAGAGTTAATGTTATACTTCCATTAAGTATAAAAAATTATTCACTAGTGTAAATATTTTAAATTGAAGATCGAATTCATTCAATGCATTCTTATAGGGTTGAGCAGTGTATCTGTAAAAAATCATCAAAATCAGAGCTAAAATAACCGTTAAATTGAGATTTTTTGTTTATAACCATTGAAAATTTTTGTTTTGTTACTTAATCTCTGAATGTCTGTTTTTTATGATTTTTTATGTATACAATCTCAGAGTGTGTAAAAATAAGTTTGATGGTTGGATCGTTGAAAAAAGTTTCATAGAATGCATATTGCATCAAAACTGTAGATTAAACAAACACTTAGAGTTAATGTTATACTTCCCCATCAAGTATAAAATAAGATTTTGTAGTATCCACTAGTGTAAATATTTTAAATTGAAGATCAAATTCTTTCAATGCATTCTTATAGGGTCAAGGAGTGTACCTGTAAAAAATCATCAAAATCAGAGCTAAAATAACCGTTAAATTTTGATTTTTCGTTTATAACCATAAAAAACTTTTGTTTTGTTACTTAATCTTTGATTGTTTTTTTTTTTGTGATTTTTTTACGTATGTGATCTCGAAGTATGTACAAACAAATTTGACGGTTAGATCGTTGAAAAAGGTTTCGTAGAATGTGTATCGGGTCAAAACAGTAGATTAAATAAACACTTATGAGTTAATGTTGTACTTCCATTAAGTATAAAATAAGGTTTTGTGGTATCCACTAGTGTAAATTTTAAATTGAAGATCAAATTTATTCATTGCATTCTTATAGGGTCGATGAGTGTAGCTGTAAAAAATCATTAAAATCGGAGCTAAAGTAACCGTTAAATTGTGATTTTTGGTTTATAACCGTCGAAAACTTTTGTTATGTTACCTAATCTCTTAATGTTTGTTTTTTGTGATTTTTTACGTATGTGATCTCGGAGTATGTATAAATAAGTTTGACGGTTGGATCGTTGAAAAACGCTTTGTAGAATGCGTATCGCATGAAAACAGTAGATTAAACAAACACTCCAGTTAATGTTATACTTCCATTAAGTATAAAATAAGATTTGTGGTATCCACTAGTGTAAATATTTTAAATTGAAGATCAAATTTATTCATTACATTCTTATAGGGTCGAGCAGTGTAGCTGTAAAAAATCATTAAAATCGGAGCTAAAATAACCGTTAAATTGTGAATTTTTGTTTATAACCGTCGAAAACTTTTGTTCCGTTACGCAATCTCTGAATGTTTGATTTTTACAATTTTTTACGTATGCAATCTCAGAGTGTGCACAAATAAATTTGACAGTTGGATCGTTGAAAAATGTTTCGTAGAATGCATATCGAGTCAAAACGGTAGATTAAACAAACACTTAGAGTTAATGTTATACTTCCCCATCAAGTATAAAATATGGTATCCACTAGTGTAAATATTTTAAATTGAAGATCAAATTTATTCATTACATTCTTATAGGGTCGAGGAGTGTAGTTGTAAAAAATCATTAAAATCAAAGCTAAAATAACCGTTAAATTGTGAATTTTCGTTTATAACCGTCAAAAGTTTTTGTTCCGTTACGTAATATATGAATGTTTGTTTTTTTACGATTTTTTACGTATGTGCTCTTGTAGTATCTACAAACAAGTTTGACGGTTAGATCGTGGAAACTAGTTTCGTAGAATGCATAAATTTGCCTAAATTTTGAAGTGAGAAAAGTAATTTGTGCAAAATTTTTATTTATGTTTTTCAATTATTGATTAGACAATATTTAGTTTATGTGATGACATTTTCATTGTACAATTCTCTTTTTATTTCTTTATCGCATATTTTACATGGATTATTATCTATTAAACCAAAAGTGTAAAAATTATCTATTAAACCAAACAATTATTTATTTAATTTTTAAAAACATATTCTATTTAATTACATATTATTTATTTATTTATTTATTAAACCAAACAATTATTATTTTATTTTCTAAAATCGTAACAAAATTTTGGGGGAAAATTTAAAATTTTCAGAGGAAATTTTGCCGCCATTCTTTTTCTGTCGATTATAACCGAAAGTAATAAAAAAAATTTGTCGCTTTTTATTTTTAAAAAATTGTTTCTGTCGGTTTTAACCAACAGTAATGAAAATAACCTAAATTTATATAACTCCTCAATCTTCCCCGCACCGCTGCTTCTCCCTTCCCCCTTTTCTTCACTCGACTCCACTCCTGTCATCCTCCTCTGTACCTCCCTTTATAACACCTACACCATAAACCCCTCTTCTCATTCTCTCTCTTCTTTAGCTCCATCTCACTCTCTGTTCTTCCTCTTCTTCTTGGTCTGTGAAATCATCAAATCTCCAAGGTATTTTCACAGCCCCTAATTTCTCTCAAATTTTTCGATTTTAATTACCGAATCTTTGAAATTGGGCACGGATTGCACCAGTTTTTTTTATCTCTAATGTTGTCATTCTCAAAGGATTTTAAGAAGCTATGAAGCTTGACACTAGCGGTCTCGAAGCATCTAGAAGCAGAGTCGCGCCTTCATCTCTTCCAGATCGACCTCCTCGACTACAACTCCATGCTCGCCGCCGTAAATGGCTGCTCTGGCATCTTCCACCTCGCCTCTCCCTGCATCGTCGATCAAGTCCATGACCCCGAGGTTTGCTCCAGTACACATTATCAAATTCCTTCTAATTTTGATTATATTTGATTAATTATGCGTATTTTGAAAACGTGGTGCTATTTTTTGTTTAATCTGCAGAAGGAGCTTCTAGAGCCGGCGATCAAAGGAACGCAATGTTCTGACAGCGTTTCAGCTCCTCTGTCATTCGAGGTTCCTATCACCAATGATGTGAATTCCAATGTGCTTTTTGTGCTCTCTTTTTGTGGTCCTTAGTCTTTTGTGTGGTACGGTTTGGCTAATTTATGGTTTTTTTTTTCTTCTTTTCCTGCTATTTCAGTTTGATGGATTTCAGAAGGAAGCTATTCAGATGGTGAAGCCGGCCAAAGGAACAACCTTGCTTGCGTTCATCTTCAAAGATGGCGTCTTGGTGGTGGCTGATTCCCGGGCTAGCATGGGCGGCTATATCTGTAAGTTGCTTTATAATGTTTATCCTATTGCTTGCATATATGAAGTCGTTGTATGCTTTGCGCCATGAAGTTTTTGTCGGAGTAATTTGTAGTGATGCTTAAAACTTTTTAGTACCATGAAGGAGGGAGATAAGCTTTCTCTGTGTTCTCTGAAACTGCAAGTAGTGGTTGGATGGTGAACGCAGGGGATACGGAAAATGCAGAAAGTGATTTATATTTTTGTTATTATTAATTACTTCATGTCGGTTTTAGCCGACATAAAATGCTAATATTTAATGATTATTAATTCTTGTCTGTCGGTTTTATCCGACCGGAATTACTATTATTTATTCTTTGTTAATTCATTTCTGTCGGTTGATTTATTTATTATTAATATATTATCTGTCGGTTATATCCGACACAATTTCTGTCGGTTTTAGAATATTTTATGTCAGAAAATTCATTTCATGACGCAGGCAATTCTGTCGCTTATTATATCCGTCACTGCATCCATTTTCTGTCGGATTTTGCTTAAAATCCGACAATAATATATATTTTTTGTCGGTTTTCAAAACGCCACTGATAACTGGTTTTGTAGTTGTGTCATTTAGACAGAAATAAATAACTTTCATTTTGTATTTTATTTTTTTCAATAAATTGTAAGAGACTTGCTGAATAGTTAAATGAACACACATTATATGTTTGTTTCCTATGTTTTCATTATGTTCTAATACTTCATAATATATATGTCATTCTATTTTGTAGTTTATGATGAAATTATATATATTTTAAGTATAAACAGACACTTATTTATATGAAATATAATAGATTTACTTAAATCCGTAAATATAATAGATTTACAGAGAGGTGTAAAAATAAATTGGTATTGGATTGATCATCCACTAAATTCAAATATAAGACTTCTCATTTACAATTGACCAGGAATACTACTAAATCTGTTTGAAATTCACGACTATCGCAAATCTTTATTTTTAAGGTATTAGGGTGAGCCGGATTGTGATATAGTACAAGGGATTTTAGTTTAAATACTACTACTTTGTTAGTTAAAATGACAAAAAAATGCCCAACTCAGCCATTACAAGGT